CTGCCTTGAAGGAGGCCGGGAGAGGTGGAAGGGTGAAGACACTAGGTGATATGTTCTATTTTCTGTCCTCTCACATGGGGAACTTGGAATCTGGGACTCAGAGCCTCCGTTTCCCCCTCTCATCATCAAGCTAAGATACCTCATTAACCAGACCCTGAAAAGGGGTCTAGAGATCCCATGGGTCCTCTGGCCTGTCTATCCTCAGGGGGTAGAAGCAGAGGCATGGTCCTCTGAAGTCTAGGGGCCACTAATTCCTCACTCCATTCTATCCAGACTCCAGGGTGCTCCCTGGGAGGAGCGGGACTTTATTCTCTATCAGCCCGGCTGGGGCTGGGGTCCCAAAGCAGTTTAGGTAGGAGTTTGATACTGGGAGGCCCCTGTTAACTAGGCCATCACTGGGGATGGGCGGTAGAGGCTGGAGCTGACCAGCTTGGTTCTCTGGAGGAGGTAGTGGCAAGAGCTAGGGCTTTGAACAAACCACAGACAGTTTCTGCAATATCAAAAAGAGCTCTTAGAGACTAATCATGTAGGGGGATTGGTGCAGCTGGGGAAAGAGCCTCTGCTTGCTTCCCATCAATGGAGGATCAAAAAGCATTTGGTCAAAGAACCTTTAAATACCTTGAAAGGCAGGTGAAGCCGGTTCAATGGGTTCCAAGAAGGATTAAAACATCAGTCTGAGCTGCAGACAGGCCGGCTCCAGCCACAGCAGTGCTGAAGGCAGAGGCCGCAAAGGCTAACACTTTAGGAATAGATCCCCCTAGCCCACCTCTCTCATGACCCAGAGTCATCACAGGGAGGGCAAGGCGTGCAAAGAAGTGGGCCAAGGCTGTTGGAAGCCACCTTGTGGAGCTTCAGGACAAGGGAGCTTTTTCTGGAAACTTTAGACCACACACTTACTGATGAGCAAAATGTTGTATCTCTGTCTGCATTTTTTTCTAGGGAGATGAGATTCCCAGAAGGGTCCGAGACATTACCAAGATGGTCAAACAGCATCCCTATGGCACTGAATGGTAAACAGAGTCTCAGAAGAATTGAGGGTCTTACCCCAGCTCCCTGAGCTTGGCATCGGCAAACAGAGGAGTTTCCAAGGGACCTCGGCCAGTCTCAGAGGCCTGGGGCAGTCCAAGAATCAACAAAGAGGCTGAGACCAAGCTTCCCTCTAAGTCTGTAGCTGTCCCCAGAGGAGGTGACTAGAAGAAGGCCACCTGTTTTCAGCTTTGGGGGCAGATGCTACAAAAGCTGAGTGAAGAAAGGATAGCTATCAGGAGGAACATGAAGAAAAGAGGGACAGGAGCACAAGGTAGCAAGCAAAGGGACCTTCCACCAAACCCTTTGAGCTGAACTCAGTCCTGGGAACTTATGCTGTGGGAGAAGAGAACTACGCCCACAAGCCACGGCATGTGCAATATCTCTCTCTCTCTCTCTCTCTCTCTCTCACACACACACACACACACACACACACACACACACACAAATAGATAAAAATAAATGTTTTAAAAAATTTAAAAAGAGAGAGAGAATCAAGATGGGAGAAACACATGGGAGGACAGGTGATATGGAGGAGGGACTTCTGGTAAGAGAACGCTTCTGGACTTGCAACAGCCTGGGGGATTCTTGAGTGCCTGCAGCTACGGAGAGATCAGCCGGGGTCAGGGTTCTTGATGCTTTGGGGTCACCGCTAGGGAGCCAGGAAAGACATCTTGCCAAAGTATTCTGACATCTCTGCAGTACTATTTTTAGCCCTGATGGGGAAATCAAGGCCCAGAGATACCCAGTAAGTGATCAGTGGCTAGAGACACAGAGGCAGGGCAACGCACAGGACAAAAATTTTGCTCCTTGATCTTGGGGCATGGATTCCATCTTTTTAGAACTAGGCCTGCAAGGCAGGAGAGGCACAGGGCTGGGCATGGGTAGGAGATCCAAAAGTACGGATTACACCTCTTTCTGTGAGACAAGTGTGGTGATAGCTGCCATGGCCTTGTGTCCTGTCCCTTCAGGATGATGGCACCTCTTTATTGTTCTTTTCGTACAGTATCTTTTACAGCTCAGGCTAAACTTGAACTCCTGATCCTCCCACCTCAATCTGCCAAGTGCTAGGATTACAGGCATTCAGCACCATACCTGGCTAATCTGTTAATCCTACACTTTTATGCACTCTAGACTCTGGGCCTCTGCATAGGAGGAAGGGGCTGACTGGGGGCGGGGACAGGGTTATGGGGCAAGTGCTTTTGGCTGGCCTAGCACATGTGTAGGCTCTGTGTAGCTGTGCTAGCTGGTCTCAGTCTGTCACTGCTGGATCAGGCCAATGCTCAGTCTGAGTCTGGTGCCACATAAATGGTGACAAGGGGAGAGGTATGTTTGCTCTGTCACATGCACACACAAGCAGCTTCCTCAGCATTTTTATTAATAATTCATCCTGTAGTCTGGTGGGTGGGGGTGAGGGGACAGGAGCTGGAGGGAAACAGCCAGTACGGATATCATGCCAGGGAAGAAGCTGGTGGACCCAGGAGCCCTGCCTCCATGCCGTGACCTAGCAACACAGCCAGGTGGCCTCGGGGGCCCTGTTTGGGAGAGTGGAGGCCTGGCATCTGCTCCAGAGGGACGAAATGTCCCTCCCTGCTCCTACTCTCAGCATGCAGCTGACCCAGGACACCTGATTTCAATGACTGCATCAGATGGGAAACAGGCCTGAGGGGTCTAAGGCATGTAGCAAGCCAGTCCTTGGAGAACTAGGTACTGTGAACGTTTCTTGCCACGTCATGGAACCCAGGACACAGGGGCCCACCCAGCAGCGTCATGGAAGGAAAGGGCCTCTCCTGAAGGCCCCTCCAGAGGCCCAGGACCTGATGGCAGGGTGGGGGTAATTCACAGTCTCCTGGGTTCTTTGTCCAAGGACCTGAGCTCTCTGGTAAACTCCATTTCCTGCCTCTGCCTAGTCCCTGTGAGTGCTCAGAAGGCAGCAACTCCCAGCTGGCTGGGCTCTCAGGCTGCTCCAGTAGGAGAGAGGAGCCTTCAAATGCAGCAAAATGGTTTGAGGTTAGACTGCTTCTGAAATGATTTCTTCAACGAGCAAAACATGAGAATGGAGTGTATACAGCGTCTCTCTTAAGAATAAAAAGAAATAGGAATCAATATCAAGAATAAATCAGATGCTTCAAGTATCGTTAATGGTATCACATTTAATCTTACAGTAATCAAAGAAATAAGTATTGCTAGCCTCGTTGTGCAGAATGAAGAAACCGAGGCCCCGAGACATGTGTCTGTGCAGGCTAACTACAGCTATGAATGGCAGAGCTACATGTATGTGCATTTCATCCTCTTTCCAATGCGGCTGCTTCCCTTGAGACCCGCAGAAAAGGGGTTTTCAAAGTCTTAGGGGGTTCAACATTTAGCTCAGTGGTAGATTACTTCCCTAGCGAGAACAAGGCCCTGGACTCAGTGCCCAGTACTCAAAAAATAAAAATAAAAAAGAAATAAACCAAAACCCACAATGCCCTGGAGCCTTGTTTTGCACAAAGCCATCTCTTGAGGTTTTTATCTAGCATGTCTGGGGACTGTCCATCTCCACTGTGTTGGCGCAGTGGCTATCTCATGCCTGCTGAGAGAGAATGAAGTACGTTTTATTTGTAAGCCCTGAGATGGGAGCAAATGGAAGGAGCTTTTCACCGATCTCAGAATCGCAGGCAAAAATCTGGGAATTAAAGCAAGGACTTCTCCAGGTCCCCCTAGCAGCACCCTGGGTTGTGAGCTCTCAGAGCTTTGGCTCCTGGGTCTCCTCTAGGGGCTTGACTTTCACCATTTTTTCACCTGCGGTGGCATGGGTCATCTTCCTGATGTCCTCTTCATCAGCTTTGAGAAATTGGGAGCTTCCAGATGCCCAGTGGGGGGAAAAAGCATGTTGAGTTACAACAGAAGGGATTATGCTCCCCACCACACCTCTCTCTTAGGAGGGTGGGAGGGATCTGGAGTAGGAAGATTTCCCTAGGGGGGGCCTTTCTGGGTACCCACTGATGGCTGGGATAGGGGTAGTGCACTCTTCACTCTACACGGCCCTGAGAGGCAGATGGATTCGGAAGGAGCAGTGAGGGAAGGCTGGAGACCCTAGAACCCTAGCCTACTGGCTTGGCTTCCTAGGGGTTTCAGGGCCCCCACAACACAGGCTGTGACTAGCTCCTGGATTCTTGGCTGCATGTGAGGGAGGGTGGCTGCAGCATGTGGAACAAAACAGCCCTTGACCTCAGGAGGAGGGCTGAGATTTCTCGGCACTGGAGAATTACAGGCCCTAACCTACACATGCCTTTCTTCCCCTTCCATTTTTAATTAGAATATTCAATCCCAGGAAATCTGTTTTCCACCGGAACAATCTTGGAGAAGGTTTGCTGGGGGAATTTCCTTATCTATTTCTCAACCGGAAAAGCTGTGGGAGGAGGTGAATGTGTGTTGTGTGTGTGTGTGTGTCTGTGTGTGTGGGGTAATCTCCATGTGAGTTCCAGGGAATGGTGTGTGTGTGTGTGTGTGTGTGTGTGTGTGTGTGTGAATGCAGTGAGGGACACTTGGAGCAAAGATTTGTCCCAATGGATGCTGATTGCAGTACCACAAAGGAGCTGGAGGTATGGTAGGGTATGAGCCACACACACAGTATGAAGCCAGCTAGCTGGCTTTCTGAGAGCAAAAATCTTCAGTATTGGAAAGCCTGGTTCACTTGTCAACTGGATGGAAGGAGGGATGCTGCCATTTGTAAGCACCCCTTTCAGGGCAGGGTAGGGGCAAGACCTGCATGGTGGGCAGGGTCTGTGACTTTTTGTGAGCTAGGCTGTTCGTATGCTTCTGGGTACTGGGGGCAGAGACGTATAAAGATGTGTGTGTGTGTGTGTGTGTGTGTGTGTGTGTGTGTGTGTGTGTAAAGAGGCCTGGTACCTCATCCCCATGGTTCGGTCCTGGGCCTTTAAAGTTCTTGAGACACGATTCTGTCTCTTCCCTGCCCCAGAATCATATTGTCCCAGAGTTTGTCAGATTTGGAAAATGTTAAACAGATACAGGGAGCAGATATCAGAGAGCACTCCAAGAGATCCTCAAGGTTGACAGAAGGGGATTTAATTTCTACTAAGGGCACACTGGGTCAAGGGAAAGGGGAGGACCAGGAGAACAGGGTCGAGAAAGGAATGAATAGGGGCTGAACAGCTGCTTTCTTTTCTCACGGAGCTCGAAGAGGTGGGAAAGGTTGCGATACGTAGTACTCCACGGAAGATGGAGATTCTAGTTCTATCTGTTCCTGCAGCGGACCATCTCTGAGAAAGACAAGACTATCAGACCGAGGCCCAGCTCTGGCAACATACTCCACTCCTGGTTTTGATACCCACCAACCCTTCTTCCCTGGTCCTCCGCTGTTCTGAGTCCAGAGCTAACGCCCTCGAGTGGCCACCGAGCGGAAAACACGGGGCGGATCTCCACGCCTTTCGGAACGGAGTCAAGAGGGCACCTCGGAGGAGGTGGCCATCTGGGCGACCCTGCGGCTTGCGAGTCCACCGCCACCCGTGGCGCACGGGCCGAGTGGGTCACGTCTTCCATAGTCTGGACGAACCTAGCCGTGAAGCTCCGCGGCCCTTCCAGGCGGGGCCTCGTGAGCGCTTGGGGTGTGCGGGGCGGCGGCCGTGCCCTCGGGGCGGCTCCGGGCGGCGGCGGCCAGTCCAGGGCTGCAGTGCAGCGCGCGGCCGGCAGTGGGCGCAGCAGTGACAGTGGCCGTGGCGCTCGGCGGCGGGCGGGCGGCGCCGGCGGTGCCCCGGGCGCACACACACACATACACACACTCACACACTCACGCACACACACAGACATACATACACACACATACACTCCGCCTCGTACACACTCACACACGCTCCGGCGCGCACACGCGGCGCGCAGGCCAGAGGGAGGAGGCTCCGCGCGGCTCGGCGGCGGCGGCAGCGTGCTCCGCGGGCAGCCGGGAGGGCTGGCGGGCGGCCCCCGCTCCCCGGCTCCGCGGCTCGGTGCAGCCCGCGCGGCCCCCGCCCTCGGACCCGCCCCCGGGGGTCGCCCGGCCCCATGCCCTGCAGCGGCGGTAGAGCAGCGCGCGGTCGCAGGCGGCTCTGAGGAGCCCGGAGGGAGCCGGCGACGAGGGGACCATGTACCGGGACCCGGAGGCGGCCAGCCCAGGTAAGCGCGGCCCCGCGCGGGCTGGGGCGCCCCGCACGGGCTGGGGCGCCCCGCACCGGCGGGCAGGATGGCTGCAACGCCTGGTCGCCGTCTCGGAGCCCCAGCCTAGGGCTGCTGTCGGCTGGATCCTCACGAATTGCACCCCTTCCTACCAGGGTCATCCCAGCCCCGGGGGCGTGGGTTCTAGCGGCAAAGACTCAGACTCAGACCCCGCAGTCGGGACGTTGCTAGGTTGGATGCCCGGGGCCGGGTTCGCAGTGTCCCCACAAGGACCTCCCCCCCACCCCCAGCAGCCCAAGGACAACGTGTGTGGCGGAGCGAGGAGCTGCTGTCCCCGTGGTAGCCGGGCAGTGCCTTCAGAGGTACCCCCTGCTCCCCAGCACCGGTGCCTTGGGGACGTCAATGTTGGGGGACCTCGGGGCAAGGAGGATCTTTGGGCCAAGATTGTGGGCACAGAGGAACGGAGTGTCATCTGCGGTGCCAACTGTGAATTGAGAGGGCTCCAGGGGGCAAGTGGGAATCTGGTGCAGCGGCAGGGGATAGAGGCTTCTAGGGGGTGGGGAACCGCAGGAGCGGTGAAAGGGAGGCAGGGGTACCTGAAGAGAAATCTCAGAGGCTGATGACAATGGGGGTGGCCGGGCAATGTTCTCCTGGGCTTGGGGAGGGGGACTCAAAGAACACCAAACTCACTCCAGTCCTACCAGGGAGGGAGGGGAAAGGGGCCGCACCCCTTTGCCTTTCTGAAAGGGAGTGGCCTGGGAGCCCACTGTTGGCTTAGCATCCTTCTGGCATCCTTAGAGCCCAAGCCAGGAATCTCTCCTCCTTCCTCGGGAAATTGCTCTGCCATTTCCTCCTTGGCTCCTGACGCCTCCCCCACGCAGTGCCCACCTGTAGGCAGGTCCCCTGCAGCTTTTGACCAGGTTCCAGCTCCCACCTGGGATACCAGAAAAAGCCCAGACTCCGAAGAAGCCCCCTACCCCCACTTCTGCTAGTTCAACCTCCTGGCCTCCGGGGTCTCTGTTTCTGGACTGCTCTCCAAGGCTAAGAGTGGGGGCTCCAGCCTAAGACCCACTCCTACAAGAGTCTCTGGGTTCCCTGCTGTGGTCTCTGGGGAAAGCAGGTGCTGTGAGAAAGATCAACCCTGAAACCGTCCACAGAAGGGGACTCAAGCCCTAATGCTCTGCACAGCAAGCTGGTGGACACTGGCTTTGCCCATTTGTGCCCAGTCCACACTTGCTGTTTTCTCTCAAAGGGCACTCCACGTCCACTGATGTTGACCTACTGGGTGGCAGACATTGAACTCACCCAGTACTTGGGTCTGAGACTCAGTCTCCTCTGGAGCGTCATGTCCTTCTCTGAACGTCCTCTAGGTGTGGACTGAAGGGACATTACCTTTGAGGGGCTGTTCCCTCATCTGTCTGAACCCAGGTCACCTACCCTGACATTTTCCCCCAGGAAAAGCCAGCTTCCTGCATTTGGACCAAGGGCAGGGGCATCCTTGTGCTTGGTTCATTCCGAGCAGCCCAGTTCAGAGCTCAGATCAGGAATGAGGATGGAAGGGAGTGCAGTAGGGATAGTCTCCGTTGCTGTGAGGCCACTGGCCTGGGGCCGTGGGTTCACCCACCCACTAGTACCCTTCTAATACTTTGGCACCGTGACATTACCACTCCTCTAAGCACCTCTGCCCTCTCCACAGAGGCCAACTTGACGTGCTTGGCATCTTCTGGGCAAAGGGCCTGGATTCCACAGCTGTTCCTGACAGCCTGGCCGCCCCTGAACCTTTCCCTTCCTGCTTGCCCGTCTTGCCCCCTTGAAACTGCAGGGTCCACCAATGCCTGTGGCAAGGTTGGTTCTGACTGAAGGAAGCTGGTGAGGTTTTCTTGTTTCTTGTGTGGGCACTGGGCTGGTGGAACTAAAAATAGGTTGTAGCGGGTACGGTATGATTGGTTCCTGCTCCTTTGGGATCTCTGGGGGCCTTTTGTGACCCTTAGTATCACTGCCCACTTCCTAGAACCCCCAAAGCTCCATGTGAGGCTCCCATCCCTAGCAGCTTACTCAAGGTCTCCCAGACTCTGTTACCCACAGCTAGGGCCCTATGTCCCCCATTTCTAACCACCCACTATTCCCCTTTGCCTGGTACCAGGTAGGAGTGAGATATGCAAATTAATTCCTGTGTGACTCAGACCAGTCCCTCACCTCCCCTCTGGTCCCACAGGAGCCAGTACCTCTTACAGCCTGGTCTCCTCATCCATCTCCTCAGGAACACCTGTGGCCCATTGTCGCATAGATAGATAGATAGATAGATAGATAGATAGATAGATAGATAGATAGATAGATAGATAGATAAATGATTCCTTATCCTCTTCTGCTCCTCGTGCCCCGGGCCAGTTCCTGAGGGTTCCTATGGTACTCTTTCTCCCTCGGCTCACTCACTCTGCTAGTCCCCATAGGGCTCATCCTAAGACTAAGACTTTACCCGATGGCTGCTCTTCCCTTCCCACCTGGTTCCTGGCCCCCAGGCACTACTGTTACTCCTGTGTTATAAAGAAAGCAGTGGCAGAGAACAGGAGCCAGATGGAGAATGCAGACCTGTTCCTTCCCGTGTCCACCCATGAGCTCCCGCTCCAGACTGCCAGCCACCTCTGCCCTACCTGCAGCCTCCCCTGCTCTCTCCCTCCTGTCCTTCATCCTCTGCCTCCCAAAGCTGGCCTGGCCTGCCTCCTTAGTCTGTCTCTACTGCCTGTCCCCAAGCTGGGCAGGGCCTCAGCAGGCCTGCAGGGGTCAGCGTTGCAGTGGGCAGGCAGGACAGGCAGGATGGCAGTGGGAAGGAGGAGGGAGGGAGAAGTGACCTTGCGGTGAGCTAGTGAGCAAGGCTAAAGAGAGAAGGGCTGGGAGAGAGAGGTCAGGTTCTGAGGTCTTTTTACTCAGTCACCAGGCTTCTGGGACTTTGTTAATCCCACTGGACAGCAGTGCCTGAAGCCTCTATCTGTCCCACCTGTTAGTTGGCTCTGTCCCCTACAGACACTCCATCAGGCAGGTCATTCCTTAGGGGCAAAGGGATACATATACATACATATATATGTACACATATACATATAGATCATATAGGGCAGAGGGCCTTGGCGTGGCAAGTAACTGTCTAAACCTACCTATCTTCTCCCTGGGCAGAGTCTGATGAAGGGGTTGGTGTGAGGCTGGAATTAAGGCTGAAAGAACAGATTCAGTTTGTGGTATGAGGACCATGGATAGCGGCAGAGCCAAGGCTGGGTATAGAAACCCAACAAAGCCAGACTATCCCCCAATTTCCCTGACAACTGCTCTCCAATTCCTCGCCTAGCTGACCCCATGTACACAGGGCTCCATTTGCTGTCATGCCAGTGTCTGGGGCTTGGCGCTGAGGTCAGTACTCCAGAACACTTACTCCCTCCAACAGCTATGGCAGGGAAAGGGTCTAACGTTGGGCTGGGAAGGGATGACCTTTGGGTATAGGGGCCCCTCTAAGCTATAGAGTTGCTGTAGAGACAGGCCTCCACTGACTCTGTTCTGTGCTGGTCTGAGCTTTGTGGAGACAGCTCGACGCTCAGGCTAGGTGTTTACGAACCCAGGGATGGAGAAAAGAGATGGTCCTGAATCCTCTCCTTGCTGGTTGGGGTGCCAGACAAGGTTGGCTCATGGTGGCAATGACAGGCCAGCTTGTGGTAGGTTGTGGGGAGGGGCGGGAGGAAAACTAGAAGGCAGAGGATCAGGTGGACACCAAGTAAGCAAAGAGAGGTCTTTGGGCAGTTGGTCCTGGTCCTAGCTGACCCTCAGGCTCCAAGGGCAACAGAGCAAGGGCCCTGAAGCCCTGATATTGAAGCATGTCATGGGGGAAGGGCAAAGGAGGAGCATGTGGTCCCCTCCTAGCTACCCCCACTCTCCACCCACCCCTCTATTCTCTCAGGGACTTTGAATTCTTATTGAATCTGATGGACCGTTTTCAATAACTGCTTCCCCCAGGGGAGTGAGGCCCAGAACAGCAGGGGAGTAGTTGCTGAGGGGGCCATGTGCTGGCTGGGAGGCTCAATCCTGAGTGGAGGAGGAGGAGAAGTTGTTGCTTTGATGGGCTCCTCAGAGACACTGCGATATCCCAGGTGGGCACAGACACCTCTGTGGGTAGTCCCCATTTCATGGTCAGTGCCCACAGGTGGCCTCATGGCCAATGAGGTCAGCTTTCTCTATCGGGGCAGTTACTGCTCTGGCCAGGTGCCGGAGCCAGCCTGTGCCAGGCTAAGCCTGGGTACCCTTCTACCTTGCCAGGGAACCCCAGCCAGTGGTGCCAAGTGAATTGTGCCAGTTCCATGGACATGGAGGTGTTGACCTTCAGGCAGCAGGGGGTAGCCCTGCTGGGCTCTGTCCAATTTGCCTCTGGAGGGCCAGGCTTTGTCTCACCCAGCAGAATTCCCAAGGGTTGGAACAGAGTTGGCAGACAGCATGGGACCTGTGGAAAGGGCTGGAGAGAGCCCAGCATCTATGCCTGCATTCCAACCCATTGGGAGAAAGGTGGGCTGGCTCGTCGGCTACTCAGAAAGGCTTGTCAGCTTCTCCCTGGAAGGGACCCTTGGGAAAGGTGTGTCGCCCCGGGTGGTTGGTTGGGATGTTTGGGGAAATGGTATATCCACGTGACAGAGCGTGCAGGGCTCAAGTGAGGGGGAAGGGGAAGACAGGGTGGTGGTAGAAGCTTGGTGACTGTGTGTACCTACGTGTGTGCGTGTGCGGGCGGCAGCTGGTTGGCTGTAATAGCTGTGCTCATCCGAATGCCGAGTGCCCTGCCCGCTGTAAACAGCAGCTAATGAGTGTATTCATAGCGAGGTGCATTGAGGTGCATGGGGAACTGTGACGGAAAGCTTTGGGGAGGGCCCCTCCCCTGGCCCTGTACTCAGCCTGGCAGGGTGTGGGCTCTCTAGGGATCCTGCCTGCCCCCT